GGTGCTGTCTTCATCGCCGGTGCTGTCTTCCTCGCCGGTGCTGTCTTCCTTCCCGTCGCGTCCCTTGCGAAGCTGTGCCCTAGGTTTGCCTCCTCGCCGGTGCTGTCTTCCTTCCTGTTTGCCGGCGTCTCCCATCACTCAGCAGGTAATCGGTTAACCCCTTTTCTATAGCATTAGAAATGCTCGATTCTGGTCTGCTTGAATAGAAAATGCACAAGGGTTCTGCCCTAATTTCCTGTAATCAAATCCAAATCCCGCAAAGCAAACACGGGAATGGATTTTAAATCCAATCCAATCCAAATCCCATGGAATCCAAATCCCTCCAGGAATCCAAATCCCTCAGAAACATTCCCGCAAACCAAACGCACCCTTTAGAGTTTGATCCTTTTCTATGGCTTCCATGTGCAAATAAAGCGTTAGAGTGCGCTTGGTACATAGACGGGACGGGACGGGACGGGACTGGACTAGTGAGGTAGTTGGGTGAAACATTGTGGAAGGTTTTAATTTGACAAGGGTAGTTTAGTGATTTACCAATCTGTCATGTTCCATGCACCAAATGCATTATGGATGAATTTGTCAAGTTATAATGACTATAATGTAGCCCCGGTTCGAAGGCTAGTGATATCTAACATAATTGATCACTAGTATGAAGTTATTTGCAGGCTCTTGGACAACTAACCATTACCTTCCTGAAGATGCGTCCTTGACGTTCTATTAATGTGAACAAACCAAACTGTGAGAATAAGTGGAACCCTGTTAGCGCGCCCTTGAGGAGAGACGGGAGGTTCCAACATATATCGAGGAGAAATGATCCAAGTCTAGCTGAAATGGGACTCCCAATACAAAGGCTAGACATGCACAAATTGTCTTTGAGCGTCAAGTCCATAAAGTGGTACACATTGGCTCTAATACCATGTGAAACTATGTGGAACCCCATTAGATTACTCTCCAAAAGAGCATTTGAGAGAAGGAAGGTTCAACGTAGAGGGAAAATGGTCCAAGTCTAGCCAATGTGGGACTCCAACACAAACAACTCAGTATAATTCCACCCGGGAGTGGGGTCTAGGGAGGTGGGGTGTATGAGAACCTGTCTTCTACCAAAGAGTAGAGTGGTTGTTTAAGTGCAAAACGGGAATCACCCAAACACAAAGGTTGATAATCACATAAAAAAATACCTATAGATTTCTAGACCATCTTATATCTATGATATGTGAGATCATCTCCAAGCTCACCTTTCTTCTTGTTCAATTATAACTCCTATTAACTTGGAATTTATTAAATGTAACTTCTTGGTATACTTAAATGCCTATCTTTTGGCCTAAGCGTAGACCCCACGTGACGATCTTCGCTATGTAAGTTATTCCGGGTAGCGTTATTGGCTAGAAAACCGTGTTCCCCCTTCTTCCCCAAATACAACCCTTGGTGGTTCTAAATCTGGGGTTTCAAGGACTCATGGATTATTATTATAATCATAAAAGGAGATATACTATTGGCCTTGAGGTGGAAAGAACGAACTCCCATAGCCCTCACTGTCGTGCCCTTGTGACGAGATTAGAAGAGATTGATGTTGAACTCAAGAAGGTGTTAATTTTCTTAACATTTGTATCTTGATGCTCTTACATATCATGTAATTTCTTATTGATTTAATAGTGTGACCACATAATCGTTGTATTCATTGCATCCAACTTTAAACTCGGTTTTGTTTTAGCTATTATTCTCATCATTTCCAGAAAGGGCTTGAATTGGAGATTTTTCTTCGATTTGGGGAGATATCACTTAAATATCTAAAATCTATTGATCATGATTTCATTCTATTTCTATATTTACTTTTTGGGGATCATTGGTTTCTTAAAGCATAGATCGATCAAGCCCTAGAAATGTTTACGGGTGAGGTTACTATCGATTAAGATTCTTTAGCCGACAAAAGATTCTTTATGATTGTTTTCTAAATGCATCAAGTGCAGGTTAATGAAGAAGCCAGTGATAAGGTACTAGAAATTGAACAACATTACAATGGAAAACGAAGGCCAGTCTATGTTAAGCGCAACCAGATCATCAAAACTATTCCCGACTTTTGGTTGACTGCCGTATGTCATTTATCAAATGCATTATGTAAAGAAAATCTTTCGGGTAGCCACCTTCTCTACCCTTTGGGGTAGAGACAAGTTCTGCGTACATCCTATCCCCCCAGTCTGAGACCCTACCTCTTTGTGGAATATACTGGGTTCGTTTGGTTTGGTTTGGTTTGTTGTATATACATCTTTCTTTTTGTTAGAGTAATACCCCTTAAGATGGCATTAATCGAGCTTTTAACTTTCATAATGCAGTTCATGACCCATCCTGCACTTGGTGATTTTCTGACTGATGAAGACGAAAAGGTTTGTTAATGATGTGTTATTGTAGCAAAGCATCATCTAATTCTAAGACGATTGTGAATATCATATTGTATGTTCTGTCGGTACATCTTACCCTTGACCCTATCTTCTCGTGGGATATACTGGGTTTGTTTGGTTTGGTTTATATTGTATGTTCTGTTAGTACATCTTAGGGCCTGTTTGTTAGCATCCTAATGCGCTTAATGGGACTCAACTTATTTGGTCAGCCATACATGGCAGTTTTTTGTAGTGGCTTAATGATATAGAAAGTGGCTTATTCAGTTTGCTTCTCGGGGGGAGCTTGATGCATAAAGCTAAGTTTTTCCAAACTTGCCCTTCCCAGTTAAAAAACACCCTCCTTCGATATATGAAAAAACCCTCTTAAACAAAAACCTCCCATTTTAACTAGACAAATTAATCTCATAGACAACTTTATCCATACATGACTTAATGGAAAAGCAACCAAACAACCCCTTACTCCTCTAGACCCTACCTCCCAATGGGATATAATGGTTGGGTTGGGTCGGGTTGGGTTTGTTTATATTGTATACTTTGATAGTACATCTTACCCCCTAGACCCTACCTCTTGGTGGGATATACTGGGTTTATTTGGTTCATGTATATTGTATGTTTTGTTAGTATCTTACCCCCTAGACCTACCTCTTACTGGGATATACTGGTTTGTTAGGTTTTGTATATATTGCATGTTTTGTTAGTACATCCTACCCCCTAGACCCTACCTTGTGGTGGGATATACTGGGTTTATTTGATTTCACATATATTGTATGTTTTGTTGCACATCTTACGCCCTAGAACCTACCTCCTGGTGGGATATACTCGGTTTTTTGGGTTTCGTATATATTGTATGTTTTGTTAATACATCTTACCTCCTAGACCCTACCTTCTGGTGGGATATACTGTGTTTGATTGGTCTCCTATATATTGTATGTTTTGTTAGTACATCTTACCCTCTAGACCCTAATTCCTAGTGGTATATACTAGGTTTGTTTGGTTTGGTTTGTACTGTATGTTTTGATAATGAAATATTTTTTTTTCTCAATATAGATCTTTAAGTATATAGACTCTCTTGATGTGGAATACTTCAATGATGTGAAGTCGGGATACTTTATCACATTCGTAAGCTTATACTTTCCTCCTAGTGATTAAAGAAGTCATAGTGAAGAAGTTATTGACGTCATCATAATTTGTGTCTTTCTATTAGGAGTTTAAACCGAATCCATATTTTGAAGACACGAAGCTGGTAAAGACCATTGCTTTCTGTGACGAAGGAACCATGAAGATAACGGGTACAAATATCAAATGGAAGGAGGGGATGGTACCATCAAAGCTCATAGCTTCTTGTCTGTTTGTTCTTTTTGTGTTTGTACTACCCGTCTGAAAGCAAATGCATTTTTTTAAACGTGAAGGGTTCCGCTAATGGAGTTGATCATGGGAAAACAGGGAACAAACGCCCGGCACCAGAAGAGAGGTAAATCCCCTACTGGTATGATCTTTGAGGGTGCGTTTGGTATCAAGACAAGTAGAACAGGATGGGATAGTTGTTTGGCATTTGATAGGATAGAACTGGACGGGAGAAAATAGATAAAATGACCAATTTACCCCTAATGAGTTGTTTATACCTTTTATATATTTTGATTAATTTATGTAATTTATTAAAGTATAATAAAATAAATATTTTTATAACAAAATATATCATTTGAAAGTTCTCGTCAAGACGATTAAAATGAGACCAAAATAAAAAGTTTATCTAGCTTCCAATTTTTATTTTATACATTTTCTATATAGAAACCGTATAAAAAATATTTTGAGGACGGTAAAGTGAAAGTTTAAAAGCATAAAATACAATAAATAAAATTTAAAGAATGGATAAAATGTAAAGAGGGAGGTGTATCTGATGTTTTAGAAGAGAATTAGGTTTTATTTTGAGATTATATTGGTAAAATATAGGCCTGTTACAAATAAAAGTTTTGCCAAACATGGAACAGTGATCCATGTTCTGTTCTGTCCTGTCCAATCCAGTGTACCAAACGCACCCTGAAGGTTTCTTGTGGCAGGCTACAAAGTGATGAATTGGTTTGGACATCTCACCCCAAAAGCTGTAGCTCAAAGAAGGAGGATGTCCAAACCACATATATGCATCTTTGTATCTTGATGACCTAAGTTCCTTATTGTATTAGGATTCCATATAATCAAATGCCTGATCTTTGATGATGCAGCTTCTTCAGTTGGTTCAGTGAAACACACCAAAAAGAAGGTGGAGGGTTGATTCGCGATGAGGTAAAATGACAAATACTTTGTTTCTTTTGAGGTTGTGCGTTTAGTGTCCAGATAGACATGGCAGTTGCTCATGCGTTTGGTAGGACAAAACTAGACATGACAGAACATATAATGAGTTGTTTATATCTTTTGATTTTAATTTATGTAATTTATTAGATCATATAATAAAATAAATATTTTTATATAAAATATATATAATTGGAAAGTTTTCGTCAATATGATTAACATGACACCAGATAAAAAGTTTATGTAGTTTCCAATTTTTATTTTATTTATTTTATTATTTTATTATTAATGATATTTAATAAATCACATAAGCTAAACAAAATATAGAAAACGTATAATAATAATAATATTTTGAGGACAATAATGTGAAACTCTAAGTAGCACAAAAATACAATAACTAAAATTTAAAGAATGAATAAAATGTAAAGAGAGGTGTATTTGATGTTTTAGAAGAGAATTAAGTCTTATATTAAGGTTATATAGGTAAAATATAAGTTTGTTTCCCATTTTGTGAGTCTATTTCTTCATATTTTTCTTTTGCTTATGAAACTGCAGGTAGCAGAAATAATCAAAGAAGATCTGTGGCCAAATCCTCTAAAATATTTTGGGAATGTAATTGCATTTTGTTTTGATCTTGTAGAATATTTCCTTTTACTCATACTCTAACTAAATAGCAAACGATATGTAATTTTTTATTTGTGTAGGATGCCGATGAAGAACCTTCTTTAGAAGATGAGGATGAAGAGGTAAATGTCTAATACTCCTGTTGTCCCAAAATAAGTGTCTACTTTCCAATTCTATCCTTAATCATGTGATCATAGTTTTAAATTTTGTTTGAGGCGTGAGGCGGTGCCTCTTGGACCCTGGACGAGGCTAACGCCTTGGTTCAATGAGATGGTTTGGTGAGGCGTGGGGTGGTGTCGGATGATCTGCTTTGGTATTGGGTTTTTTTTATCCTCTTTATAGTATAAGTGTCTTTTTTTAATTAAAAAAAAACTAAAAGGCAATGTCCAATGGCCCCAATGTGTACATTTTATATTTTAAAACTCAAAAAGCTAGTACTTTCTCCTCTCAGTCAAAAGGTATGGTTCGACCCTTCCTCTTCCTCCAAACAACCAATTTTTCTGCACCCTCTTAGCCTGTCTCGCGGTTTCATTCTTTCCTGTGTCAAAAACCACTGAACCAACACCCTTAGTAATTTAGTTATATATATAGGGGCAGGTTCCAACAAGAAGCTAAACATTTTGTAAGAAAGCGAAAGTTTCAACATCATATATGATTACACGCATAATACACAAGCTTAATCATATATGATAAAATACATGTTGCATTGATAACACATAGACGCTTAATCATATATAATTACACACACCCAAAAGAGTGTAATCATATATGATATTGAAACTTATCGCCTTCTCGCCAAATACATATATATGTATATATTGATATTGTGTATATATATATATATGTGTATATATATATTTGTGTAGTATACATACATATTTTGGTGTGTATATATTTTTCTGCCTTATGGATTACGCCTCGCCTCGTTGAGAGAAAACACCTCAAGGCCTGATTCCGCCTTTTAAAATCTTGCATCAGATCGAGAAATTTATTACACTTCCTATTATACACAGTAAATTGTCATTTAGTTAATTAAATAGTTTAATAATTTTGATAGTAGACATTTACTTTGGGACAATGGGACTATAAGTTTTCGTATTTCTAGCCATTCATTGATGCATCTCATCTTGCATGCATACTTCATGGGATTTCGTTAATGCTAGATAATATGAAACCTTAGAAAGCTTATCTCTGATCATGCATTCATCGCTCCTTTACGTTACTGATGGCAGGAAGGCAATGATGGGGAGAAATGAAAGCTGCGTTTGCTTGTATCAGAATGATACTTAATATGAGTTGAAATATGCAGCGATACAGTAACTAGGATTGCTAGTAGCTATCTAGCAACGTTAAATCGACTCCTAATACCCTATGAAGTTGCTTATGGATGTCCTAAAGTTTGCTTTTGTTTATATTTGCTTGTGTTTTGATTGTTTTCTATACATGTAGAGTGTTGATGCTGGGTTTTCTGCTGATATAGTGACCGAAAGGGTCAGGTCTGGACTGATTGGACCAAGACCATACCTGTGAGCTAGGGACAATGTTGAACCATTGTGGACAATAGCCATCATATTAGTTTCTTTATAGGTATTTGGGTTATGAGTCTGTTCTTTTGATGACTTGATCATGTTACAGCCGTTCTACTCGTTGGGTAGAGGTCAAATTTGCGTACATCTTAGGGCATGTTTGTTAGTAGTTTAATGGGCTTAACGGGACTGCAACTTATGCGGTCAGCTATGCATAATTGTTTGGTAGTGACTTAATGATATTGAAAGTGGATTATTCAGTAAGCTTCTATGGGATAGATTTATGTAAAAAGCCAAGTTTTTTTTTCCAACTTGTCCCTCTCAATTAAAAAACACGCTCCTTCCATCTATGAAAAAACCTCAAATCTATATAGACAAATTAATTCAGACAGACGGTTTTATCCATACAGGAGTTGATGGAAACTCAACCAAACAGCCCCTTGCTCTCCCTAGACCCCTATTAGGTTAGTTTGGTTTGATTGCTTCATCTTTTGATGGATTGATCATGTTACAACAGTTCTAATCTTTGGGTAGAGGCTAGGTTTGCGTATATCTTACTCTCCGCAAACCCCTACTGTGATTGTTCGTTTGAGTTGGTTCATCTTTTGATGGATTGATCATGTTACAGCCAACTCTACTCTTTGGCTAAAGGCCAGGTATGCGTACATCTTACCCTCCCTGGACCCCTATAGGCTTTGTCTGGTTTAATTTAGTTTATCATGATAGTTGCGCAACATGGATGCAACATCCATTTCTTTTAAATCTATTACTTATTTAGAGATGGTAACCAATTTGAATTCATGGTTGGATGTAGGATATAGTTTTCAAACTTCTTGGTATTAAAGACTTAGGGTTTGTTTGTTAACAGCTTAATAAGCTTAATGAGACATTACGTCAATTATACACGACTGGTTGGCAGTGGCTTAATGATATAGAAAATGACTTGTTCATTAAGCTTCTAGAGTGGGAGCTTTATTATGCAGAAAGCCTTGCCCCTCCAATGAAAAACATGTTCATTCCATCTATTAAAAAACCCTTCCCACAACAAAAACCTTCCCAATATATATATAAAGATAGATTAATCTACAAAGACGGTTTTATTCATAAAGGACTTAATAGAAAACGAATCAAACAGACCCTAAGGTTGCGGTTGTTTACAACGAAATGAAGTCAAAATTGGTTTTGCCTGGGTGACTCAGTGGTGGTTCGTTGAAAAAAGTTCCAACATCTAGACCATTACAAAGGTCCAAATCGGTCAGAAAAAAGTAATAAGAACATGATTCAACTAAGAATTGGTCAGAAAAAGATGAAGCTTTCTCATGTATTACTTTTCACATGTTAAAAATCCACATTGAGCAACAAAATGCAACAACAGACCCAACCCTATAAATTGTAGCATAAAAATTATAATTCTCTACCCTCCCCATGAAAGGATCCATAAACTACTTGTGACATGTAAGAAATCGAATACAAATTCTCTTACCTAAGTAGAAAATAAGGATCGAAATCATCCCAGATAGCCACATTGTCGTTCAGCTTGCTGGTTAAACGGTCCACAGGTTCACCTGCAGATTCCTCATGTAGTCTAACAACTGATAGAAAAAGGTTACGAATCAGAGGATTACCAAGAAAGGGTTTGATGGCATCTCCAAGATCAGCAATTTCCGACATCAGGGTACTGCTGTTCTTCGATCTTTGCTTGAAAATGCACCGAGATAGAGTGTAAACACCAAGAAGATTTGAATAAACCGGCAAAAATGCATCTTTATGGTTACCCAGACCACCAATCCAATCAACTGCTTGTTTGCCCCCATGTCCCCCAGCAAAGGACATCAACCGTTGAAAGAATCTCCTTCGCCATTCGTGTAAGAAATCCATGCCCCCATTGCCACCCGCTGCCAAAGATTCCGATACAGGAAGATTATCTAGATGGAAACAACAAATCTGGCAAAGCAGAAGTTTTTCTTCATGATGATTATCAATCTCCTTGTCGAAAACCTTTCTAACAAGATCCCCTCTTGAGATAACGTTATTTGATGCACTTAAGATCCAATTAGAAAGATAATCAAAGTAGTAGTCCCAATGACCGAAGATCGTAGACAGATGATGTAAACTAGATATTATCACTTTGTCTACTTGGCTCGGAATTACACCCGCTTCCGAACTGATTCCATGAAAACACTTTTGAACATCAATGGCAAGTTTACTTCTAAGAGAAACATCCTCATCTTCTAGAAGCTTTATGCATGCTGACCATACATCAAGTGTTCTAATAGCATACATGTTAACAGCCTTTTTCCGATCAAGATTATCAGATGGGGTCTTATTATTGGTCACATACTGACCGATAAACTCAACGGCTTGAAGTAGACCAGATGCAATGACTGATTCAGCGGCTGCCTTACGTATGTTAACGGGCTCTGACGGATCACCATGGTGTTTGATTAGTTCGACATAGTAACTGATACGATCATTTAATATGATCATGTGATCCAATTGGTTTTCCTTATCGAAAGAGCTCGTAAACAGATTAGTGAACTGTTTTGTGCATACTCCCATGCAGCACAACAGTATTTCTCGTGTTTTCAAATGCCGGGTGAGTTTGTACAAGGAAACTAGTTTATCCCAGAAGAGAAATAGTGAATCGGAATCTATGTTACCTACAAACCTGATTTCTTGAAGGCATTTTTTTTTGCTGCAAAGTTTCTGAAAATTGAGCAGATTCCAAGTGAAAAGTATTTTCAAGATGTAACAAGTGCATCTGTGATTCTTTTCTAGAGATAAAAGATTCACCATCATGGAATGGAGATGAGGATTGATCCATTTGATCAAGCTGCTCTTGCATGATGATGGATCTTCACCATCATCATCATCATCATCATCTGATGCTTTAAGGAACCAAAGGAGCCACTTTAATGTCGCAAGACGAACTTCATATGATGCATCTGACAAGGACCGAATCAACCTATCTTGGAAACTGGAAATATCGCTGCTTGTTTCCAATATGTGGTTTAAACCAGATGCAGGGGGGATGTGTGTCCGTAAGACACGGATATCTTCTTTATCGACGGTTTTTGATGTTTGAAAAACACAGTTGAAATATGAAGTTGCTGCCTGTTTTCGACATTCTGCTGTTGTTGGATCGTAATAGGGTAGCCCGTAAGAAACTTCTGCATCTAAGCATTCGATAGATAACTCCCAAAGGAGCTTGCAGATGGGATTGAAACTTTTGCTCGTGGGACACGTTCTAGCAATACCGAGCATGATATCAAGCACCCTTAAGAAACTGCTGTTGAGCGTGGAACACGGGCACAGTTTGGGGCTGCCGATCCAAGAACGTGTGACAAGAACTTGGATCAAGTCGTCTAGAATCTGATCTTTCTTGGAGAAATCAGCTAAATCTCTACAATTTATATCTAAAAGAGAGATCACTTGTAATAGCAAACCATGAATCATATTTGAAGAAGCAATCTTGTCCCCATTAGAAGGCAACTCATCGACAATATTCAGCAGGATGACTAGAAGTCTCTCATTGGATATCAGGCCCGTTAAAGCTCTTGATGCAAGAACACGAACTCGAAGGTTGCTTTGTGTTGAGCACCTTCTGATGAATGGCATGAATAAAAACGGGTCCAACCCGTCTCCAATTTCACTTGCAATTGTCGAAGGCTTGAGCCTGGACAAGAGAATTAACATGGGGCACAAGCTTGGATGCACGGCATTGGCGAGATTAGATCCCAAATGTTGCGGTGACCCATCTGTTAGCAACTCGGTGGCAATCTTCAGTTCACTATACAAGAACGGATGCAATAACGGGTACCTTCATAAAAGAAAACCCGTTAACATTTTTCTACGATTTTCAATAATCATAAATGAGAAATGCAATGAATGGTGCATAAACAATAAAACAAAGCCAGTATATCCCACCCAGAAGTGGGGTCTGGGGAGGGTGGGATGTAAGCAAACCTCAAGAATAGAGTTGCTGTTTCCATGAGGACTCTCGGCTTGTGCAAAGTGTGCAACAAGGATAAAGCTTTCTAAAAAAGAACATGAGAACAGGTACAAGAAAACATAGCCAAGGTAGGAATGACAATGAACAATGATTCTTTGCTATAAAAACTCTGTAATACCTATGGAAAAATTCAATCCCAGTCAGCGCCCGTCTGGCAGATTCTCGTTTATGTATGTTAAGGAATCCAACCATCCGACGAACTAAAGCTGTGTATGCAAGACAGGCACTGTTTCGGATTTCCCAATATGACGAAGAAAAAGAGCGTATAGACATTATCATAGCCTCAGCAGAGAAACCAGAAGTATCCGTTGCAAGATTGGTATCATTGAATGCTGCTCTAAGAACATTAAATGCATGTACTGTGGGAATAACACCCTCATCTCGAATCTTTGAATTCACTGTACTACCATCCATTTCGATTTCCTGTTTCATAAAGATTTCTTGGCGGGAATTTGTTGAAAGATAAGTGGATGAATCTTTGCCGAAGGTTTTTGGTTCGTTTTGATCGTTCATGGATCGGTTGGCTACATCTATTAGCCATCGTATTGCCCTTGGGAGGAGTCTCTTTGGTGTACCTTCGGGTTCCGACAGAAAAAAGGCAATAAATGCAGCAGGAATACCTGCACTTCTTCTCAGCAAGTCATCCACTGTTTGTCCTTTGGCAATTGTTCTTTCCATAAGTTGTTCCATCCAAGATTCGGTTAACTTGCCAAGTCTGGTAGATTAGAGATGGTGTTAACAGTGGAAGTACATATATTTGTAACCGTGTGTGTGTGTATATATATATATATATATATATATATATATTGTTACTCCTAGAAATTCTAAATTCTGGAAGAGAAGGGCTGTTTACTAATTGTTGATCACCTCTTACTGGGTAAGAGATGCTTACCCGGTAAGAGGTGAGGTTGTCTACCATACAATCTGACCGATAAATGATGCTGACTCGTTAAGGAAGGAAAGGCTTTCTTACTCAGTCAGTGCTTACCCAGACCAATCTCTTACCGAGATCGCACTCTTAGGGTGCTTGTTAACAGCTTAATGAGCTTAATGGACCTCGCAGCTTATTTGGTCAGCTATACATGATTGTTTGGCAGTGGCTTAATAATACGGAAAGTGGCTTAATGATGTAGAAGGTAGCTTATTTAGTAGGCTTCTAGGGGGAGCTTTATGCAGAATCGCAAGTTTTTTCCAAACCTGCCTCTCCCAATTAAAAAACGTGCTCCTTCCATCCATGAAAAATCCCTCCCAAACAAAAACTTTCTCAATCTATACACAAATTAATCTACACAAACAACTTTATCCATACAGGACTTAATGAAAAATCAACCAAACAGCCCCCGCTTAACGCTTACCCAATTTGAGTTGGTAAACGACCTTTAAGTTTTCCAATTTCCTGGACAAATGTACCTGTTTAAGGACCTGTTTGTTAGCAGTTTAATGAGCTTAATGCGACTCGCAGCTTATTCGGTCAGATATACATGACTATTTGGTGTGGCTTAATGATATACAAAGTGGCATATTCAATAAGCTTCTTGGAGAGGCTTTATGCAGAAAGCCAAGTTTTTTCCAAACCTATCCCTCCCAATTAAAAACACCCTACTTCCGTATATGAAAAAACTCTCACAAATAAAAACCTTCTCAATCTTTAAGGACAGATTAATCAATAAAGACAACTTTATTCATACAGGACTTAATAGAAAACCAACCAAACAGCCCCTATGTACGCAAATGGAAGTCCAAAAAGACGCTAAAGGAGAGAAACATACCTTGGATTGTCTGAGCAAAGTAACCGATTGCATAATGCAGTAAATCCTGCCCTTGTCTTATCAATTGCACCATTATGCTTCATTTTCATGAGGACTTCTAGGAAGTGATTCCCAATAGTCTCTAGTTGTTTGAAGTCAAGCACAACATCATCGTTCATGCTTGGATCACCATGAGGGTCTGATAACGGGTCAAATTCCCTCGATATGCCTGAAGTGGGCAAAGGAATTTTCCGTATAATAGTTCCCAGAAGAAGACTCACCTAGGATTGCAGAATAACAAGCTTTGCAATTAAGTATCTAGGGGAAGGTTCAATGAAAATACATGATATCATGAATTATAATGCATGCTATGAATTATAATGCATGATATCATGAATTAGAATGCATGATTATTCAGGGTTATTCATCATGAATAGTTAATGAAATAGTTGGTTACCCAGTTCTCAAATATTTATGGCGCTCATTTCAACTTCCCCCAAGTATCTATTAGGGTGCGTTTGATACACTGGACAAGACAAAATATGGATCATTGTTCCACGTTTGACAAGACTTTTATGTGGAACCTACAGGAACAAAGTGGAACAAGCGTGTTCCATCCCCACCCCATGAAACAAGGTGGAACAGACCTATATTTTACCAATATAACCTCAAAATAAAACCGCATTCTCTTCTAAAACATCAAATACGCCTCACTCTTTACATTTTATTAATTCTTTAAATTTTATTTATTCTATTTTATGCCCTTTAAACTTTCACTTTACTAATCTTAAAATATTGTTTTTATACATTTTTTATATTTTGGTTAATTTATGTAATTTATTAAATATTAACAATAAAAATATATAAAAAAGGTAAAAAAAATTGGAAACCACGTAAACGTTTTATTTTAGTGTTATTTTAATCGTCTTGACCAAAACTTTCTAATAATATACTTTATTATAAAAAATATTTACTTTATTATAATCTAATAACTTGTATAAATTAAACAAAATATATAAACAACTCATTATGAGTAAATTGGTCATTTTATCTGTTTTGTCCAGTCCAGTTCTGTCTTACTAAACATTGAACAGTTGTTCTGTTCTGTCATGTCCGTACCCTTATGGAAGCATAATGAACACCAAGTACCAATGCAAAAGAAAACATAGCAACTAGCAAGTACCTCTTTCATTGCAAGCCAGCAGCCAACCATAACAACCTGATCGGATGGTCCAACATCCTGCACCAATTTCGAACCTGTTGTTTCTTTCTCCGATGAGCCCACAGGAACATCCAAGTCATCCGTAGCATCCCATATGTCCAAATCATCATTCACAAGATCAACCATATCCTCAGGCAAATGCCACGCATCAGCCGAGACCACAGAAAGCGCCATTGAAGTTATTCTCATGACTAACTCGAGTAGTTTCTCCAATGCAAGTTTCATACCCGAAATATTGCTCAAAACTAAGTCGGAATTCCAATCCATTTCCTCAAAAGTATACCGAAGTGTAAGCAACACCCCATGAACAAAGCTGTTCCTACAAGCATCAGAAAGATCCTTTTCTCCCATTTCAACAGAAGCATGCAGCCAATCAATGAGCGATGTTACATATTCTACAACGGGAGAGCAAGTTCTATAATCTCCATTCTCTAGTGTCGGATTCTGTGAACAAAAAGAAACAGCATCACAAGACGGTTTGACAATCCACCCAAGATCCAAAACATATTTACTAAAGATGAGCCGCATTGTCAAGGCTCCAGCGTCACTTTCTCTGACACGAGGACTACAAACTAATTTCTTAGCCCAGATAATTACTTCTTCGACCATTTCTGTAGTCGAGATTCCGGGAAGTGGGGTTGGGAAATGAAGCAGAATGCGGAAAGAATTCTCCCTCAACCGATCCCAACTGTCAACAATTGAACCTACTAGCAATAAAGTTGCTTCGGGTGATATAAATCTTGCATCATATGGAGTCATAAGCACAATTTGGGAAGCAGAATCTTGGTTATCTTGCAAAGGAGGTACAATTGGCCAGGTATTGTTCATTATCAATATGAGTTCCATTGCCATTATCTTTCTTTCATATGGAGCCGAAGGATAGCATGAGAAAAACAAAGAGCTACTCAACCACTTCATAAAATGAAAAAGATCCTCTGCCCTCTTAAAATTGGCATCTTTTTCTGTTTCTTTACAGGGAAGAAATCCACCATTTTTAACCGCCGAAGGTTGCCAGCCTCCTTGTTTGATCTGTCGCTCCAAGGCAGTCCGAACCCGAGAAAAGAATTTTCTAAACAAACTGGTCAACTTCATCTGAAAAGAGGTTGAAGAACACCTCATGTTCAAAGGCATTGCTTCTTTCATCATACTTAGCTCCAATGAGGATGGAAGACTGGCTGTTTTAGGGTTTAAAAACAGTGACTCAACTGCATCTGTGCGAAGAGACTCATCAACATGGGTCAACGCGAAAACTAGCCACTTTACAAGAACTTTAACTCTTATTCCTTTTACACAAAGAAGAGCGTAATCAGCACTTTGTTCAGTCTGCCCCATCTCTTCAAACCTATCAACGTCTCCTTCAATCAAAGCAAGAGAGCGAGAAACTTTGAGCAATGAAATTAGTACCGCCACCTTCTGTTCAACTCTAAGATTCATATTTGCACCATGAACATCTTGAAAAGCAAGCACATTGTCTTCTCCAACAGGACCAACAGAGATAAAAGCAAGCATTGGAAATATACTCTCCACATCCACATCAAGTATCACTGGAAAAGCATACGTGTTCAAATTTGACCGTAGCTTTGAATTTCCTGAAGCAAGTCCATGCATAAATGGCGGCAAGCAAACTTTTCTATAATTTGTGTACCCACTTTCCACTCCATTGCTACTCCAGAACTCATCACGCAAACATTCAAGAAAACACTTCAAGAAAGATGTGGCAGCACAGCATACATCATCATCGACGTATGCCCATGCTGTCTCAAACATCATATCAGGACTCATCGCTAAAATCGTTTTAGCTCCAATCCTCTTGGTGAGAGAAGCTAATGGGACATATCTACCCTTGCAACGCGCACCCATCCGAAGAAGATTGGATGCAATCTTCCTTAAAAACAACTGAATTCTCTCCTTACCACCATCCGTCGAAGGGAGACTAGACTGTATATCTAAAAAGATGTCGAAAATTAGATGAACTTGTTTGACAGTTTGACTTAAAGGATCCTCCAAGTTATTCCATACGATTCTCAATATCCGGGCACCTATGTCATCCGCAATGGGATCATGATTCATTGCTTCATCATTGTCGGGTGTAGTTAGTATCAAAGTTTTTATCTGTTGAAGACAAATTTGCATCACAGTCAATGCGTGAAAATTGAAGTGACTATCGGTGGGGTTCTCACAATATTTACATAATTCTGGCAAAATCCCATCATAAAGTATTGTTTGAGCTGACATTCCACCCTCCAAACAAGCTTCATAACCACAAACGCCATCCTTTGATACAATATAAGGAGTATTAAGTAGTGTTCTAGGGATGGCAGTAAGGATTCCTCTTATGAAACAGAGCCTACTAAGTGCAGAAAAACCATGAATTTGCGAAAACAGATTCCCTTTATATGGAATCTTCATGATCACAGCTTGAAATCTGTTATTGGAACTTAAAACAAAATCTTGATGGAAGATAAAGATACCTTCAATAATCGCCAATCCAAGGTCTTCGGGACAAAGACAAACCTGTAGTGCTGCACAAAAACTCACCCCTGCAGCCACATAACAATCCCTGGAAAAAGCTTCTGACTTCAGAATGCTTAAAATGGTGGTCAGAATCATCTCCATGATATTGGAATCGTGCAATCCATTCAAACTGGTGAACTTCAATGGACATCGCTGAAGCAAGTAATAGATAGAAGATAAAGCTTCTTGACATTGTTCCATAACAATTGGAGATGGTCTAGACCAATTGTTAGTCTCCGAAATCACACTGTTTAATCCAGAAACCACATCTAATCCCATCAAAACTGCACATTCCTCCACAATTTCCACCAAATAACCCAATTTCGGAGAACTCATCATCGATAAACCCACACGAGAAACACAAAACCTCTTCCGTTTGCCATTCCCATTTACATCGCCATTAACATCTGCATACTCCTCGCATAGAGATCGAAAGCAATCACCAATTACAGACTGAAAATCTCGCGTTTTCGCAAGAACAGAAACCAGAGTCCTGTGTAATGGTACGGAATTTTCGAGGAAAAGAATCTCGAGATAGAATCTGGAGGCTTGAGAAACGACGGCTTCGTTGCTGTTTTTAAGCAATTCAGTGAAAGCGGATGCGACCTTCTTAGCGTGATTGAGTTGAGCGTAAGTTGAATTGAGAGAGACGAGTTCGTTGAGATGCGAGTAGAACAGGCGAGCAGATGCATCATGGTCTTGAGATAGAGCCAAATTGATGAAGTTATCTAGGGTTTGTTTGTAGTACTGAGGGAAGATGATGGCGCTGTAAGTGTAGCGGTGGCGATGTTGTAAAGCTCGCCATTTCGCAGACATGATTGAAAGCAGTAGCAAACGTCAGCAATGGCGGACGGAAGAAGTATGAAAGTCTCCGGCGGTCTTCTTTCTCTCTACCGGCGGCGGAGAGAGAGAGAGGCGGCGTTGTTTTTGCAATGAAAGAAGGGCGGGGATTTCTGAATTTTTAGGGTAATCTTTTTACAAATTTTGATATGCCAATTACATTCATTAAAATAACATCATGTTGTTGTTTGGCAATTACTAAATGGTTTAATGTAAAATAATATAATGATTAAATGGCTTTTATGATACAGTGCAAAATGAAATATAATTATTTGGTAACTGTGTACAATGAAATTTGGGCTTTTAATAGTTGAGGAAGATTCAGGATACAAAATCATTTAGAGGGTTTTAGAACCATTAAGAGACAGACTTATTTTTTGCCAAACAAGATTCACCTCTTAACGATTCAAATGTAGTTTCTTAATGGAACTATTAAGAGGTAAACAAACAACCCCTAAGGTTTAAAAGAACGTGAGACGTTACGTGAACATGACGTGACTTAAAAGCAGTCAAGCTTGGGACGCATTCTTTTAGTTGTGACATAAGACGGTAAATTTGTATATCACGTATATAATTTTATATATAGGCATGTGTTTTCTAAAGTTTGTGTGATTGATATTCAAATAGAATTGGAAGAGTTTTACAGCTTTGTTTTAACTATAAGTACATGGCATATGTTACTCCAAGAAAACTGTGAAACCTAGGGGCCATTTCCCAGACGCTTATCCGGATAAGTGCTTACCAGATGAATGTGATAATGACCAAGAATCTTACCCGGTAAAAACGACACAAAGAACAAGAGTCTTACCCGGTAAGTGAAGACAACGACTCTTACTACGGTAAGCGCTTACCACGTAAATTGTTGCATACAATATCATTTTGGTAGACTAAAATCATAACCGGTAAGTAATGATAGTGTTAAATTTTACCGGTAAACGCTTACCGAGTAAGGAGCCGTTTACCAAATGTTTACCAAATTAATTAAAATAGTCATTTTCGGCTTGTGGTTTTATCTCTTGGTCATTTCTCATCTAAAATCACCAAAACGTCACTCTATCCACAAGTGGTAGGTTCGTATTTTACGGAGGGGTCAAAGCATAAAAAAAAAAGTTTTGAACCATGTGCGCAAAGTGCAAGGTGGAAAAACACATCAGCGGACATATTTTTGCAGGTCCAAAATTACAGATTTGGTCTCTGCATTTTGTGGATATGGTTTAGAAACTTATTTTTTCACTACGATCCCTCCGCAAAATACAGACCTCCCACTTGCTGATCGAGTGACGTTTTGGTAATTACTAAAGAGGTGAAACCATACAGTTAAAATGACTATTTTAACCAATTTCCCTAAACAATCGACCTTTCCAAAAATGTGCTTTTGCAATAATAAGTTTTGTATGAGAGAAAATCGTAAATAATCGACGAATGTAAATGAGCGGCGATGACGAGTGAATGATATTTCTAAAGGTTAGTTCCCAAAATACGAATGAGATCAAAGTTAGTTATATTTTGATGCAATTTTCCCAAATATAAAGTTTATAATGTAAAAACAAAAAAGTTAAAAAAAAATGATTGTATTGTAAAAAAAACACGCCATGGGGCGACATGGGGCACCTCAAGGCACCATGGCGTGAGTCACGCCTTATACAAATGCTATGGGTCTTACCGCAACGGTGGAGACCCGTCTTATGATATGGTGCGCGAGGTCGCGTTTTTTTGAATACTGATAAAAATGCAACGAGTTTTGTGTTTCTTATTTAATATAAGAATAAAAGATTTTCTCAAATTATGTAACAAATATTTTATTATTTCTATATCATATATAAGTAGGGGTATGCATCAGGTGGCTTCAGGTGAACAAACCAAAATTCCGATTGGCTTTTGAATATGGAAACGAAGTTTCGAAATTTTGGTTTCGGATATCGGATTATTTCAGGTTTAGGTTGGTCGGATTTCATGTTGAGGTTGGTCGAGTTTGGGTATATCTATTCTCTGTGTCGGGCAAAGTCTGCAATCAATACAAAGGGTTATTGTTTGAGCAGTACCAGGGTTATCAATACAGCTCAACTTTCAAAAGGGTTGAAGGTTTAAAACTCGCAAAAAGTGAAAAGTGTGTATGATTATTTGTCATGTATACAGTGCTTTTTACACACCTACATATATGTGATGATTAGAGCAAAAGCCAGTATACAATTAGCCCAATATCGTCTTTCAAGTAATAAAGTAGTATAAAATATTGAACATCGTCCACATAGATTGGAGTAAAACCTTATTAAAAGTAGAATAAAAGAATTGGTTTCAAACAAGGGATTTGAAAGACTTTGTTCGGTTTTGAGTCACGATACTTGAATTAACAGGATAAAGAAAACAACATGAGTATAACACGTGTGATGAGACATAAACACAATGGACCAATACCTCTTAGTATGTAGTTAACAATAAAAAGTCCACCATTTGTGACTATTTTGAGGGTATTTCTCTCGAACTTCGGTATTTGCCTAATGCTTGGATTCAACCACACATCTTTATGTAGTATCAGTACTAGTTGTAGCGCATAATAAAGTCAAAAAATACATGGACGATAAATCTCTTTGTATAAAATCATTCTCTCGAGCCGATTCTCATATTATTCAAATTGGTGTGCTTCAAGTGCCTCCAAGAACATAGACAAAAAAACGCATCGAAGCTTCGTACCACAAGAACCCAAATTGTTAAAAAAACGCATCCACAAAGACCTAACTTGTTAATTTTTTAAAATAAAAACAATACATGTTAAAAACACATAATAAATGTAATTCATGGGTTATTTGGTTGGTTTTTTATTAAGTCCAGTATGGATTAATCTGTCTGTATAGATTTTATGGGCTTTTGTTTAAGAGGATTTTCATCGATAGAAGAAGCGTGTTTTATAATTGGGCGGGTTAGATTTAGAAAAAAAAAAAAAAAAAACCTCGTCTTTGTAGAAAACTTCACTTAAGAACTAACTAATAAACCATTTTATATATAACTAAGCCACTATCATACAATCATATATAACTGACTAAATAAACTATAAGTTTTATTAAACTCATTAAGATGTTAACAAACAACATTGTATACTAAAGACATCAGTATATTATTTTAACTCGATGGAAATAAAATCCTGCTCAGAAGAATGTTTTCGCCAGTTGGTGTTCTTTCCGATCTCTACGCATTTCACAGCTCCATCGGAAATTTCCTCTGCCCCTATCGTACTTTAACTTGGTAATTTCCGTCGTCTGTCTACAATTGAGTTTTGAAATTTGACGACGGACTTAAAAAACCACCTACAAACACTTTACACCCAACTATTTTAAATAGCATTTACATTATTACAAACTGCTGACACGAAGTTAGCCGATGCTTCAGATCTTTAGGTGGAAGGGAAAGCTTCTACGGCACTTCTTGTGCCACCAATTCCTATAATTTTAATATTTTAAATTTGTTGGGATATAAAATGATGACGTCAAATCGTAACCACCCTTAATCCTTGCAACGTGTAAGCAGGTGCACCATATTAAGGTGAGCTGGCCCAATCACAAAAGCCCACGTTGGAGTTCTAATCAAATACCGCAATAACCTCCACTAACTAATTTAAATTAATATAGTCGACATCCATTAGATCTTTTCTTGTGATTTGTGGTGGCCCACTCAAATATAAGCTCTTGTCAAAAAGTTATATAAGAAAATTTATTTTCAAATAATAAAATATTTAATAAAAACTATTAAAAATAATTTTTTATGTATAAAATATTTTTTATTAATGCATATTACTTAAAATTCAAGATTACAATTAAATTATACGTGAGTACAACTTATTAAAGAGACATGTTTGAATTCGTGTAACTAATTACAATATAAGATAAATATCTTATTTTAAAATATAAAAAATCTAAAATCTAATTAGGATGATTATCGAGTTCTAGCAAAATATTTAATTATTATATTTATAAAAAATTATATTATTAAACCAAATATAAATTATTTTGTTATTGAACTCAAATTAAATTATAATAAAAAAAATTAAAATAAGAAATTACACAAAAAATATAAAATTTTAAATAGTTAATTTGATATTAATATCAACATATTTTTGTCAAATTTTTATGATATCTTCAAATTTATATTTTATTCAAAAATGAAAACATTGTCGTTTTTTTCAAAACCACATAAGATCATATTATAACATTGACTAAGATAAAAAAAATAAAACGAAATATTTTAGATACAAGAAGGTACTAGTTTTTTAAAACGTATTATATTTTATAATATAATTATATAATTAAGAAAATAAATGACCATTCCATTAGAAATCCAAAAGTAATTAAGAATATTAGAACCATTTACATGATGTTATGTGTTCCTTTTCAAGATAAATAACACATTCATGATGAATATGAAAGTATTATTTATTATGAATCACACATTCATGATGAATAACATGTTCATCAATAAATCGATGGAAAGAGATGCAAAGATTTCACTGGGTTTCGAACAAGAGCATCAATGGCGGCTTTGACAGATTTATGTTTATTGTCCTTGCGTTTTGAAACAGTAACACCACAAATGATTTAGGTTAAAATCCATGTCGATGCTTCCTTTTTCTCCGATCCATTACAAGGGGAAAGGGGCGTCGAAGATCAATGGAGGTGTCATCGACTGGTTGTCGGTTCAAGTGGTTGGCAGAAATGGGATTTATTGGCAGGGAAAGGGGACCTCATCGTCGATTAGGAAATGGCAGGGGAAGACTGTATATTATAACATTAATAACTTATATGCAATTTTTTAAACGAAAATTTGAAAAAAAAAACAATAATAAAAGACCAAAATATCCTAAACTTAATGGAGATAAATTTAACAGAGTTAGAGGTTATTTGTTTACCTCTTAATAGTTTCATTAAGAGACAGTCTCTGAATCATTAAGAGGTGAATCTTGTTTGGCAAAAACAAAATATGCCTCTTAATGATTCTAAAACCCTCTGAATGATTTTGTATAACGAGCCTTCCTCAACCATTAAGCACCATAAGTTTATTGTAAACAATTACCAAACAATTATATTTCATTTTGCACTATATCATGAGAGCCTCTTAATTATTTTGACCACTTAATCATTTTGTACCAAACTATTCAACAACTTTCAAACAACCCCTTAAAAGGAGAAACCTAATCCATGACAAAATCAAAACCACAATGACCATACGTGTAATTATTTCACTGGGGGATTCAATCCATAATTTGGATACAACCACAGGGACTAAATCTGTAATTTACTCAATGTTTTATTGTAAAATAATTTTTCAAACTAAAAACAGAAAAAAAATGCATTTAAATTTATTTAATAAATAAAATAAAATCGTGCCTATTAATTCTTGGCCAAGTGGCCCCACGCAACGTGGCAGAAGAGGAGCCGAAAGCCAACGGCTTTTCCCATTTCATACGTTCCCATATGTCATTTTACCCCTTCTAACCGTCAAACTCTCGTCTATTACCGACACGTGTCCTTCTCTCAGTTCTCACATACAGAGCGCCCTCGCGCCCTATATATATATGATCAATCGTCGTTTCCAGATCAGTTCGCCATCACTTAGTCAGCTCAAAATCACATCTTCATGCTAATCGCCATTACCGCCGTTAAGCAATCAGGCGATTTCCTAGAATTCAATGATCGGAAAACGCCGATGTTGAAGATTTTTGAAGAATCCGAGACGGATAGGGAGAGTTACGGATCATCGTCGGAAGATATGGAAAATTACTCGCCGAAATCGGTGGTTTCGAAGGTCAGGAAATGGCCGGTGTCGACGGTAAAGGACATTTTCGGTCGTCGTTGTGTTCATAGCCAGATTGTGAGAATTAGAGCGGAGGATTCACATCTAGGAGAGGATATCGGCGAGTGTTTAATAGCTAAGATCTCCGGCGCCGGTCATGATCTCGTGGATGATATCGTCTTCTCCAGGCCAGCTTCGCCTCTCAGCGGCAAAGTTTCGCCGAGGATCAATATGGCGTAGTGATCACGCAACATGTTCGTTCTATTCTCCATTCTTCTCAGTATAAATCACTATATGTATATATATTCTCTATGTAAGTATGTATGCGCATCTAGATGTGTATATTTTTGCTGAAAAGGATTTCAATATTCAAATCTAAAACTGAGTTCTGATTACAGATTCACACAAAGCACGATTTCCTAATTTTTTACAGAATTTTCAGTTTTTGTTCATAAAATTTGGAAGATCGTTAGAGGATTTTTAGCCTATTTCATTCGTTTTCTTAATTTAATACTTAAAAAATTAACACACCTTCCAGAATTCAGGCCTCATGATTTCAGATTCGCTTTCGAAAACCGATAAATGGTAATTTATATAGCTTTTTTTTTCCCTAATTCAGGTGGAAATATGCAAACAGGCTGCGAGACAGTGATAGTTAAGAGAGCTACTGCTTCTACGGACCTTAATATGTTTTAAAACCCTAAATAAGAGATGTAACAAAGGGAGCAGAGCCGTTCTTGTAAATTAAACACAGCCTCTCTCTTTAGTTACAAATCCTGATCGTTTTGGCAAATCCTGATCGTTTTGGCACTTCAACTAATAAAATTGTTCCCCTTAAGTTGCGAATACGAAGACAACAAAAGTAATAATTAAAATGTCTAGCGGTTTACTCCTTACATTCAAGCTAATATAGTGAGATAAATGCATAGATACGAAGGGAGTGTTTCGGATTGTTTATTTGAAAACAACTTGTGTTTTTCTACAAAAGTCTTTATCAACTTATTATAAGTCAGAATGATTTAATTTCTTCAAAAAAAAAAAAAAAACTATTACCGGTTTGACACCAATATAAACTGTTATTCTAAACACTCAAAAATACTTATTATCCGTGTTACACTCTAATAAGTCAACAAGTTATTTTTTATAAGCAATCTCAAACACCCCTAAGAGTAGCAAAATAATGAACTGTTAGATCATACTCCATTCTCTAGTGCAGTGAGAGAAGTGCACAAAAATCGATTTTAAAATTACAAGATAATAGGGTATTTTCATCATTGTATAGAATTTTTTGTTATTTATCCAATCAAAAATCACAGGAACCAAATCATAAAATTGATTTTTGATTGGTTAAAATACAAAATATCAAGAAAATGATGAAAATTCTCCTTAACGGAGCCAAATTCAAACATTTTTGCAAACCACCACGGTTATGTAAACAAAAAATGTTATTTTTGTCAAACCACTAAGACCAAAATTGTAGTTTACTCTTATTTTAATAATATATTTTTTTTACTCTTTAAATAGTATGTGACATGATATACATATGAATATATTGTTTGTCAATTGCTGAATGATTTGGTACAAAATGATTAATTGGTCAGAATGATTAAGAGGCTCTCGTTATATATTGAAAACGAAATATAATTGTTTATAATGAAATTAGAACGCTGAATGGTTAAGGGAGACATATGATACAAAATCATTCAGAAGATTTTAGAACCATTAAGATTTACCTCTCACCTATTCAGAGGCTAACTCTTAATGAGACTATTAAGAGATAAACAAACAACCCTTAATTTTGGACCTCCTTAGGTGTAAGTAGTGGGATAACCCAAATTAATGTATGTACCCAATTTAAGAAGTTGATTGAAATGATATTTTTCATATTTTGACTCCTTACAATAATTATAATTAAACAGCAAGAATTAAACAACGAATATAGAAGATAGACTCTTAAGTTGCAATTTCCAAAGTCAGAAAACTAAATTAATACTAAAGATCCAAACCAATGAGCCCATTGGTTCTTACAGTTGAGGATCATAAACCTACATACCAAACCCAAATCTAATACTCATCACCATCATCATCATCCTCATTATCAACAGACTCCAACCCAACTTCCTCATAGTCTTTCTCAAGAGCAGCCAAGTCCTCTCTAGCTTCTGAAAATTCCCCTTCCTCCATTCCTTCCCCAACATACCAATGCACGAAAGCCCGCTTCGCGTACATTAGATCAAACTTGTGATCGATCCTCGAGAACACCTCAGCAACACTAGTCGAGTTCGAAATCATACACACCGCCCGTTGAACCTTGGCCAAATCACCGCCGGGAACCACCGTTGGCGGTTGGTAGTTGATTCCACACTTGAAACCCGTCGGACACCAATCGACGAACTGAATGGTCCTCTTGGTCTTGATGGTGGCCACCGCCGCGTTCACGTCCTTTGGAACGACGTCACCTCGGTACATCAAACAGCATGCCATGTATTTCCCGTGGCGAGGATCACATTTCGCCATCATTGATGAAGGCTCGAAAGCACTGTTGGTGATCTCGGCTACGGATAACTGTTCGTGGTAAGCCTTCTCGGACGAAATCACGGGTGCGTATGAAGAAAGCATGAAATGGATTCGTGGGTATGGCACCAAATTGGTTTGAAACTCCGTCACGTCCACGTTCAAAGCCCCGTCAAACCGCAGTGACGCCGTCAGAGAAGAAATAACCTGTAAAACCGAAACACCAGTAAGAAATTTTGGAGCGTTTAATGAAACAAATTGGGTAAGCGCTAACCAAGTAAGAGTGCTGTCTGGTTAAGCATCGACTGCACTACAATATATTCAGGTTTACAGGACTCCAAAAACATCCGAGTATCCTGATAGACTATGTTCTACAACTGAAGTCTATCCTAAGAAGCTTGTTAAGACGTGCAAAATCGTCTTATAAACTTGTTACAACACTTCTTACTGTTTCAGCATATTGGTCAGAATATTATCTTAACGGGTAAGCACCTCATACCCAAAACATATTATGTTTCATTTCACACGGGAATTTTATCGAATACCTGAGATACAAGTCGGTTGAGATTGGTGTATGTCGGTCTCTCGATGTCAAGCGACTTACGACAGATATCGTAAATCGCTTCATTATCAAGAAGCACAGAAACATCAGTGTGCTCGAGAAGAGAATGAGTCGAGAGGACCGAGTTATAAGGCTCGACCACCGACGTCGAGACCTGAGGCGAAGGGTAAACTGTGAACCCGAGCTTCGATTTCTTGCCATAATCTACAGACAGCCTCTCGAGAAGCAGAGACCCGAGCCCTGATCCAGTTCCACCTCCAACGGCATGAAACACCAAAAACCCTTGTAGCCCAGTACAGTTATCCGCAAGCTTTCGGATTCGGTCCAAACACAAGTCCACAATCTCCTTGCCAACTGTTCGATAAAATGCCTCAGAGAATCAGATATACGTTACCCTGTTCCATACTCTAGAAAATGGTTCTCTACAAAAATAGCCACATTTAGATATGACAAAATACAGAATAACCAGGCCAGGCCAGGCCAGGCCAGGCCATTTATAAACTTTTGCAGGATAGCGAAATCTATGGATATTATTCGTTGGTTTGTAAAAAGTAGGTTTTTTTGGGGTTCTGTTTAGCTATTTTGTGCTGATTGAAACCTGTGGCTATTTTGTGCTAATTTGCAAAAAATTAGGTTATTCTGTAATTATATTATCGATAAAAATGGCTATTTTTAGGAAAAAGTGACAAAAATAGCGGTTATCACCAACCAAGCTCATATCTTCTAAAAAATCAGTACATTACTTACTTGTATAATGACCTCTGGCAAAGTTATTAGCAGCATCTTCTTTTCCACTAATCAGTTGTTCAGGGTGAAACAGCTGCCGGTAAGTACCGGTACGAACCTCATCAATAACCGTCGGTTCCAGATCTACAAACACAGCCCGGGGAACGTGTTTTCCGGCGCCGGTTTCACTGAAAAACGTATTGAACGCATCGTCACCGCCTCCGACGGTTTTGTCTCCCGGCATTTGTCCATCTGGCTGTAAGATTACAGAAAAGATTAACATCAAAAGGATTTGGAATCTGAATCTGAATCCGATGAACGAAAAATTGAAAACTTTAGGCTGTGAAATGGTTACCTGAAGGCCATGTTCGAGACAATAAAGCTCCCAACAGGAGTTTCCGACCTGGATTCCAGCTTGACCGATGTGGACGGAAATGCACTCTCTCATTTTCGATATGGAACCGTTACAGATTCTCCGGAGATACGAGATTTGCCGGAGACGTATACGAAGACGTCTTATCGGCTGCCGGAGAGTTTTTGAAGAGGATGAATGAGAAAGGAGGTATTTTTATACGTAAAAAGTAGGTTAAAGTGGTTTCATTTGAAATTTGAAATGGAAGACAGCTGGTATTCACGACCGTTATCAGCTGGAGGAGTAAATTACGGTTTTGGTCCCTGTGGTTTTTTTAAATTGACATTTTTGGTCCCTGTGGTTTTTCTTAAAATTGACGTTCTCTAATTGATTATCCAAATTTTCTCGGAAATGTAGTAAAAAAAATATTACATTCATCTTAAAGAGATTCTTTATTTTAGAGATTATAATATCAGTTATATTATTAAAATATTTAATATGTATTTAATAAAAGGGTTGGGTTCACGTGAGACCAAAAGTTTTTTGTGAGACCCGTAAGACCAATTTATGTTCATTGATCAACTTTATAAGTTAATGATCTAATGGTCTAAAGTTGCACGGTGACAATTTTATGATTATGAATGTTCAGATTGTAGATCTAATCCAAGGGTTAAGAATTGGTCTAACGGGTCTCACGAAAAACCCTTAGTCTCACATGATACCAAGTCTTTAATAAAATATTGTTTCTCTTTCCTAAACCTTTATTATTGATGGGAACAATAAAATATTATTTCCCACATATAAATAATCAATTTTATGAATTTTTTTTAAATTTAATGGAAATTTTCTTCTATCTCCTGTTTCTTCATTTTAAAAAGGTGACTCCAGACTATCTGCAAAGCAGGTGATCGTCCTGGGATTAGTCGGCTCGCATAGTGAGTTAGATATCCAGGTTAATAAAAAAAGGGTTTAGGGAATCTGTTGAAGCAAAAATACGTCCAAAATCTCCATCTCGACTCGAAAAATCCAAAAAAAAAAAAAACTCAACTCAAGATAACACAATACAAAGTTGACACAAAATTAGGTCAAACTACATATATTGGGTTGAGATCATTTAAACTCAACCAACTTGATAAATCTGATGTCTTTCTATATTATGGATTTAATATGATTGTTAAGTACTTGATTAATATTTGTACAATTAGACCAACCCGTAATTAATTATATTCAAAATTATATTACAATTTCAACTGTAATCTTATTTTATTATTTGCATGAAACCTTGAACTTTCTTTTTTGAGTTTGTAGCCTTTTTGTATTTCTCAATTTTTTTTATTCATTTAAATGTAAATGCTAAACTAATTGTAAAATTATGTACCAAAGTTTCAACCTGACTAGCCTACCAACCCAACCCAACTCTCACGTATTTGATTGGGTTGGGTTTAGATTTTTCAAACCGCGAACAGTGGGTTGTGTTGAGATTTTTTAAACCGCAAACATTGGGTTGATAATTTTCAAACCGTAAATATTAGGTTAAGTTGTTTAAATATCTTCAACCCGACCAACCCAACTCATGTGAAACACTACTTAGAATTACGATTTTTATGGTTTATAATTTGCAATTCATTATCGTTTTTTTATCTCACACTAAAAAGTAAAGGGATGAAAGTCAAATTTAACAAACCATAGGGATTAAAAGTGTAATTTACTCTATTTGGAAATTTGAATTTGAAGCGTTAGAAGTTGGACATACTTGTTATTGGGCTTTTATGTGCTTATTGGGCCGCTAGTTTATTGGACTAATAGATTATGGGCCCAATTAAAAACATAGTTTTGAAAGAAAAAAATGCATGATCTAATAAAAGGTGAATTTTATAACACTAGAAGGATACTCACGCAGTACAGCGAGATTTATCTTCATTTTAATGTTTAGTTTTATTTGTTTGTCTCAATTGATATAATACGGTTTATGTGGTTTCGATAAAGATAATATATTTACTTTTGAATAAAAACAAATTTGAAAATATCATAAAAATTTGAAAAAGTATATCAATATTAATATCAAATTAACTATTTAAAAGTTCTCGTTTTTTTGTACAAATTTCTTAATTCAATTTTGTATTATAATTTAATTTAGGTCTAATAACAAAGTAATTTATTTTTGGCTTAACAATATAACTTTTATAAAGATAATGATTTTGTTTGAATTCAACGCTCCTAATTATATTTTATATTTTTGATATTTAAAATGAGATGTTTATCCTGTAATTGATTATAGGGGTTTCTGATGCATACAAGTATTTTTGTTGGAATGTTGATACATAACTAACGGAATGCTTAGAGTATCTCCATTAACTGATAAAAAGATCTTGTCAGCATCGGTATAAAGAATCTTTCCCTTGTGTTCGGCAACAACAAGAGCCCCTGAATCTAGAGCCGCTTGGCCTTCCAATCCAGTTCCAACAATGCACTTCTCGAACTGAGAAAGAGGAATTGCTTGACGTTGTATGTTAGAACTCATTAAAGCCCGATTCACATCATTATGCTCGATAAAAGGAATGAGGGAAGCTCCAATAGAAAAAATATTGGAAGGAAAAAATACTTCGAAGATGAACCTGTTCCCATGCAATAGTCAGGAATTCTTGACGATATCGAGCTGGAACAACCTGTTCTTCCTGAATACCCTGATTTAAGGCCAAAGAATTTCCTGSGGCTACCATATAGTATTCATCTCTACCCGGTGATAAATAAAGCATCCGGTCCCCTTTTGGTCTATCAGAAATTTTATAAAACGGACTTTCTAGAGACCCCCAACGATATCTGCAATTAGTTATACGAATTCAAAAATGGAGCTTTAATAAATTGTACTTACGCATAATTTACTTGTAATTTTAAACTTCAAGTGGTTTGCATTAATACATGATACTTCATGCATAAAAAATGGTTTTTAAGAGTTTTTTTGTCAAATGCTTTATAATATAGTATAGATATGTTACAGATATTCCAAAATTTCTCTAAAATGAAGAATAAAAATTCAAAATCTCGATAAAAACTGTATTCAACTCTAACAGTTTCTTCATTTTGAATATTACATCATTAATTCTATTATTTGGGTAAATAGTTGATTACCGGCAATCCTAACCGGCCCAACATGAAACCCGCCTCCAATGAAACCAATGTGATGGACATTTTTTGGTTCACTCAACGACTGATGGGCGTTTATAACAGTTTTGACACATCAAATATCGAAAAAACTTATCATTTCCCTTTATAAAAAGCCAGATTTTCGAGTTCAAATTATTAGAAATATGATGATATGTATCAAATTCTTTTTAAAAAAACATCATTCAGTTTTACAAGTCTTATCACGTGTATTCTCTATCTGATATTTCGATTCAGATATTAAGTTTTATATTTTCTTGAATTTAACTGATTCTTCGTTAATATTCCTTGTGACACGAACCCCAGATAATATATTTCTTGAATTTCAGAGTGATACAATATAATTATTAATTTCTTGAACCCCAAGCAACTTGGTTGTTTGTCACAATAATACAATCTCGTAATTCAACGTTTGGATGTTTGTCAACCATCGAAAACACAAGATTAGATTGTTATTTGTATATATTTTGTTAAAAAAAACTGTATCTTGCACCAATTGTTACATAGTGGGCCCATTTTCCAGCAGACCGGTAGTATCAGGTAGGACACTGCGAATATTCAGTGGCTCAATTAATACAGCTCACAAAGAATCGGTTCATAGAACAATCACTTTGTTTAGTAACGAGCTCTAAAATAGTTAATGTCCAGTTTTTCTTTCCATATGCATAAGTTGCTCAGTATGCTATGTAATAACAGTTTTTCAATGTGTATTCAGTATTATGTGGTCAAATGTTTCATTTCTTATCATATTTTTTGGTTGTGAAAAAGTATAACTGCATATAAATATCATGCTGTAAAATGAAATATGTTCAGATGTTGTTAAGTTATTACTGTGTTTAAAATACGATATTCTGAAGTTATTACTGTGTTTATATGCCAACACCAACATCATATAAACATAATAATATGGATAATCTTTGTTTTGGCAAAAAGTAGATTACTGACAACTCCAACCGGCCCCACACGGCCTCTAAAGACACCAATGTGAAGGACATCTTTTTGGCTCACCCGACGGTTGAAGCTACCCGGGGGGGGGGGGGGGGGGGGGGGGTCGAACCTGGACTTGCCATGTATTCGGGGAAATCAGTCTGTCCATTTACCAACTGAGCTACATACAAGAAACATTTGGACGATCTTTATTAATTTAGTGGCTTGGGGTTCAAACGTGCAACCAACATATGATTGATTTTTGAGCATACACTAACACATAAGGTCACTCTATCGATTAAGCTGTATCGGGAAATATTCGCTACAAAAGGCATCACAAATTTGGTGATAATGAACTTATAAAAAAAATCTTCTGATTATTAAGAACTCAACGGGACTGTCTCCCTGAAATCAGTTAAATTGTGACCTTATAATGCAATCGCGTTCTCTGGTCCAATTGCTATTTTTGTTTCTGTATTCCTGAAAACAAGATAAATTCCGAAAATATAAATAACCTACTCGTCCCCAGAAAGGAGAAATGATGGAAAGTGTTGATGCCTATGACGAATATAGTTTTCTTAAGACAAATTCGCCATCTTTTCTGTGCTATAGACTCGTGGACATAAGTCTATCTCACATGGGACAACCACTACAGCAAAATCAGGTTTATAGGACACTCTCAATTTCTAAGCGTCCTAATAGACCTCTTTATAGGACTTGGTTTATAGGATCAAAAAAATAAAGTGTCCTATCTAAAGGCGTTGTAATACGTTTGTATGACGTTTTTTGACGTTGTAATAAGTTTTTTATGACACTTTTAATATAAAACGTTTCAGTAACAACTTTATAGGACATTGTTTGAAAATCTGTCCTATAAAAACAAGTGTCCTAAAAAAATTGAGTTTATAGGACACTTTCTAAAAAAAAGTGTCATATATAAAGTTGCTAATGCGACACTTTGTATTAAAAATATCCTAAAAAACTTGTTAAGACGTTCAAAGACGTCATATAAACTTATTACAACACCTTTATATATGACACTTTATATTTTG